AGAGAGAGAGAGAGAGAGAGAGGGAGCTGATACAAGTAGCTAAAAGAGGGAGGGGGGGGGAGTAGGGTATATAAGATGGGGCATGCACTCCCTTCTATGAGTGCCGTCTTAGGCAGATTGGATAGAGCAGTTCAAAGAATCTAAAGCAGAATTTTGTATGGAGAAAAGGCGACCTGTTGACAGCAAAAGTTCACCTCTCAAGCCACCATCTTTTGATGGGACAAGTCCGCAGTGGAGTACTTAATAAAAGTTTAAGCTGATAGATAATTTAACTGATAAAAGAATTCTCAGATCTTTATAAGATGCCGGAAGTAACTTTAAATGCTTTTCTTGTCAATTATTCGTTGATCTTTGTTCATGTAGACTGCACAAAAACAACTTCATAGAGACTTTATCGATGGTCCTGCTTCCAAACAACTTGCTTTATCCAAAGCCTTCTCAAGTGCTTTCCTGACTCATGTGGAAAAAATGTCTGCAAACAAACTTTAAGAACATGAAAAGAACAGTCAGAATTTAAGTGCGTCAGATTCTACATTGAAAGCAAAGCTGGCTGGAACCAGGTGCAGTTAGCAACAGCTTTGGACTTCTCAGCACAATAGATTCACTGCCCCTTTTCCCCAACATCTCTTGAAATCCATGCTGCACAATCATTACTTGTGCCATCTGATTCTGGCAAAAGAAGAGCAAGGTAGGGCCAGACGAACCGATGAAGGCCTGCTCGACGAGAGAAAGTTGGATCGGTATCACAGTAATTTACAACCATTGTTCAAAAGATTTCCACTTGAACAATTGAGGAGCTCCCTCTCTCTCTCTCTCTCTCCTTCGGCCAATTGGTGGTTTCCCACAGGATAATTAGAGGTCGCATCGTTGCTTTTCCTTTTAGATCGAAAAGCATTTGCTTTTCCCTGTGTTGCAAAAGCCTTCCCATCACTTAAAGTTGCAAGCGATTTGGTTGGAAAGGTCACCCTGCCATGTCGCCTGCCTTTTCCCCTAGTCTCTGCTTTTTTCCTTTGATCATGACTCTTGTTTCGGACTACCATAACCTTTTTTTTTCTTTCTTTTGATGGTTCATCTCATCCTATGAATATTGTAAAATGATTGAAAGGCTGATGTTATAATTTAGGATCAACTTCTATTCAAAGGATTTTATTATTATGGTTTGAAGCTTTAGAAACAGCAGAATTGTTGATCTATGACTCAAATATCATGCTTTTATATCTTGGGCACAAGTCTGTTCCCTTTTATTAAGACCAGGGCAATTTTACTGTCTACATACATACGACGACAACAGACAAGCCTACTTACTACATGCCCTTTGAAGAAACACTCGTAGAGACGTAAATATAGTTCAGCCAGTGTTCTGCATGCCGGCAGCGATACCCTTCATCGTCAAGATGAGGGTGTCCTCCAGCCCAGGGGCATACTCGCTTGTTGGGTTCAGCTTCACCAATTCTGCTGCTGGTTTGGTGGACTCTGATATCTCCCTCGACAGATGGGGTCTCACATTGACATGGTAGCTCGGGTCTCTAATACGCTTCAGTGTGTAGGCTTGGCAAACATTAAGGGTTGTAATGTAAGCATCACGCAGCAGCAGCCGCTGCTTCAAGTATGGATCCCCTTCAAGAAGATCTTTGTGACCAGCGACCTACAAAAAAGTGTGGATTTGTGGTGGTTACCAGTATGCAATCATCATTGGTTGGTAGTGACAGCTTGAATCAAGAATGCAGAAGGCTATATAGGAACATGGATGCAAGGATTCAAATACCAATATGTATGTACCAATTGATATTTACTAACCCAACTAAGCATCGGTACTGATGATATCGGTCAGATCGGTACTGATGAAATAGGAAGTGGACGACCATATAAAACCTTACATTAAAGAATCAAATTTGCACATTTCTAGGTTGTGTTTTCACTCTCTATGCATATACTTAAAGATGGGGATTTTGTACATATACTCGGTGCCTCACATGAGGCTCTGTGACAGAGGGCAACCCTAGTATAAAACAGATTAAATGGATTCAGAAAATGACTAAAAGAATACAACTTATGGATCAAATTCAAGATGTAATAAACCAGTCCACTTGTATAAAGTCCATGACAATGGGTTGCAACAGGTTGGCAGAGTATAAGGATCAGATTTACAGATCTCTCCATCGTCCATTTTAAAGGGGCAAAAGATCCACAGCCAGCCATGCAAAGAAATCATTCAGTCATCTAAAGAAGTTGGCTGATCTTTAGGCACCAAACAGAAACAAACTATTAAACAACCGGTAATAGCATGACCAAGATCCCAAACCAGCCTAAATTTGGATATGCACCAATTTGATGAAAGGTAGACTTCATGATTGATGGTTATATTTTCAGCAAATAGGCCCTAGCAGTCAGAGATGCAATAGACAGAATAGGATACCATAATTGAACCAGAACAGATAACCCAGACCATCATTTGAAGATCAAAGTATGCATGAGGAAAAGAACTAACCTGAAGAAGAAGACGCTTTGTTTCTTCATAGTTGGCTCTGAGTCGCCCCCCAAAGCCCCACAAATCCTCGGACACTAGAAGTTTATCATACAATGCAGCTATTCCAGGATCTCCTTTAGCAAAGACCATCTCCACCAAATCGATTGTGACCCTGAAAAATGGCCATTCATTGTACATCTCCTGTAAAATGTGAACATTCCTGATATCCTTCTGCAACACATGCTTGAATGCCGCACCAAATCCAAGCCACACAGGAAGGTGAAACCGTGTCTGCGTCCATGCAAAAATCCATGGGATTGCACGTAGTGATTCAATGCCTCCGCTGGGCTTTCTTTTTGAAGGTCTGCTGCCAATGTTCATTCTACCATACTCCAGCTCAGGTGTCGCCTGCAGTAACAAAAAAGTCATGTTTTCTTTTCCACATTTGATGAATCATGTATCAGAGGAACAAAAGAACTGAATAAGCAAATGGGTGTAAAGACACCAGAGTGTATCTACAGTTAAAAGTATGTACCATATAAACAAACATGTAGATCCGCAAGTCAAAAGAAAACCGATAAAACTTTGACTTCACAGACAAAAGTAATGTAAGGACCGTTGGTACTCATTCAAATATGTACATCATCTTCAACCAAGTATTAAGTATATAAACTAGTGACCTAGGGAAATTGACTCTGAAATGCAGTAGGAAACAAGAACCACATTACTTACCAGTCGGAAATACTCGACAAAACGTGGTTCTTGGAAGACAATTGATCGATACTCCTCTGTAGCCACAATAGCCATCTCATCCATCAAAGCACGCCATTCTGGTTTTGGAGAAATGGGGGGACGCATTCCATGCTCAAGTGTAGCAGCTGTGAAACGTTGAAGAGTTCTGAAGCATAAATGTTCCTCCCCAAAACACTGCTCTATTACTTCACCTTGAACTGTAACTCGGAGGGATCCATGTATCGTGTCTGGTGGCTGAGACAATATAGCAAGATGAGTAGGACCGCCTCCTCTTCCAACAGTTCCCCCTCGCCCATGAAACATTGTTAATTTCACTCCATATTGCTTAGCTACCTTTACAAGTTCCTCTTGAGCTTTATATAACTGCCACGCTGCAGAAAGACGCCCGGCATCCTTTCCAGAATCTGAATACCCAATCATAACTTCCTGTTTACCATCAATCCTATTCCTGTACCATTCAATTGAAAAAAGTCGGGCTACAGCTGCAGGAGCTGCATCAAGATCTGCAAGTTTCTCAAACAGTGGCACTACTCTCAATGACTTCTTCACATGGCATTCACGCTGCAACAGCTCAACGGCAAGAACATCTGATGGTGTTGTTGCCATTGAAATGATATAAGCCCCAAAATTGTCCGGAGGAAGTTCGGCTATAACATGGAATGTGTCTAAAACATCAGCAATTTCATCGGTCTTGGGTAGGTCAGGACCAAATAAAGGACGTTTTCCATTAAGTTCAGACAACAGCCATTCCTGACGTTGTTCCTCAGACCATTCACGATACGACCCAATTCCCAGGTGCTTGGTGATTGCATCAATAACATCAGTGTGCCTGTCAGACTCTTGCCTGATATCAAGCCTCACAAGAGACAGGCCAAAGGTTGACACTTGGCGCAAGAAATCAAGGAGGCTTCCATCAGCAATGGGCCTATCACCACAATCACAGAGCGATCTGTAACAGAGCTCAAGAGGCTCCAGAAACTGCAAGAGACAGGCATCAATCATGAAAAAAGATAGTGTCATAGTCATTTGTGTGAATGCCAACATAATCAGATATAAAAAAAGGCAAGAGCAAAACATTTAAGAAAAAAATGTTGAATGATAATTTTGCCCAACAAGATCTAGTTTCATCTCATTGGCTTCCATAAGTGAGAAATAGAAAAAAAAAAAAAAAAAAAGGAGAAATTTCACAAGACTTCATTATAACTTATCAATGTACCTGGTCAACATTGGTGAAAGTTGCTTCTTCAGGAATGTCAGAATATCCATTAGACAGTAAATGGCGAGAACGCTCCCGTGTGTTGTATAGCTTGTCCCTGACATCACTTAGCACAACACGATAAGGTTCACTTGGAGGGACTTTTTTCCAAAATTCTGCATTCAGAACATTGATAACAAACCAAAAAACAATCAATATAGATAAAGATGTTAGGTCTGGTAGAAAACATTTGGTTGGGGGATGGAAAAAATTAAAAAGTATGTAAACTGCTTACTACATGAAAAAAAAAAAAAAAAAAAAAAAAAGAGGAACCAATCTCTTATAGGATTTGAGTGCACGTTCATATCTTTGCTTTTAGAATAAAAAATATATAACCACTTCAGCTTCAAGAGAAATAAGAACCTTATGAACAAGAAGAGGATGAAGGAAAAAGGGGACATATGACATCTTTTTTTCTTTTGTAGGAAGACAAATAGCAACAGTAATAAATTATTTGGCTGAATTATGGTCAAACTTCAGCTTGATGGTGTTAATGCAATTGAACCATCCATTTCAATGACATTTTCATTTTAGAATTCTTTGTTCAACCTTGGGATTTCACTAACTTTACATGCCCCAATAAATTCGACAGGTTAACAATTAACTGTTTAATCCACTCAGGGTCATCCAGCTCCGAAAATGTGGTAATGAAATATAAGTAAAAAGGATGTTGCACAACTTATTCTTACAGGACAAAGGAGGATACAAGATAGTTTAGATGTTGATGATCATGTGTGAATGAAATGAATGACAAAATGACAAGGAAAAGTACTTTGATAAAGGAAGCATTGGAGCACTAACTATATGTTTTAAATCTTTGCAACTGTATAATTTCAAACTTAAATTTGTTTCAAGAATAAAAAGGTTATATTTTCTGATATCTGAAAGAGAAGAGATTGACACCATAAAAAAGAAAAAGATAATTCCAGATCAAACTGATTTATGCACAGTTGATAAAGATATGCATAGAAAAATGAATATTACCATACTTATATAGTGTTTTGCATCCTTCTCTGACGAGCAATGTAACTAATTTATATGCAGTTGATGAAAAAGTCTCATGTAGAAAAATGCATCCTACAATACCTATGTAGTGTTTTGCATCTTTCTTCGAGGAGCGATGTAGTTGATCTGCACGTACTCGGAGTTCATCGTTGCAGCGCCACATAGACAACTGTGAAAATATGATTTCGGGAACCAAAACTCAAAAATCAAATTCCTAGTGATGTCACAGATATTTATAGAGATCCAGACAACAATGATTGGCTGAACATCATATTACCTCAAACATGAGATCCTCTATCTGGGAATAGTACAAGTTTGCAGCCATCATTCTAGCCAACAAGCACACATCCCTTGTAACCTCCGGTGTAACTCTGGGATTTCCTATGTAACATAACCATCACGTCTTAGATTGACAAAGCATGGTCTAGGCATAGATTATGTGTCATTACTTCTATTGATGTCAGCAAAAATATCACTCAATCACTGTTGTTTAATTATCTCCATTCTTTGAGAAAAGCATTATTTGCTGTTAAATACTATACTGGCTCAAATTTTAAACTTCAATAAAGAAATCTTAAGGCAAAAGAAGAAGACTAGAAGTTGAGCATAAATTAATGGCTGTGTCATACCATCACGATCCCCACCCATCCATGAAGAAAACTGAATCAAAGGAGCATTATAGGGTACACGCTCATCTATTCCTATGTTTTTAAGTGCTGTATCCACTCGCCTTAAGAACTTAGGAACACCCTTCCATATTGTTTCATGAAAATAGCTCATTCCAGCCCTCATTTCATCTTGAGGAGTGGGAGGAGTTCTTCGGATCTCATCAGTCCTAAAGGCGGCTTGAATCTGCAATAAAGAAAAATAAATAAAGCATAGTCATTAAGGATAATAAGTAGTGCAGACTTACTCGAGGTTTATGCAAGAGAAGCAAGCGTAACAAATTCAGATATAGTGACCACAGAAGTCGCCTATGTCCATAGCATTTGCATAATCTTTCAAATATAATCCCTTCCTCCATTTCAAGTGGTTCTTGTTCAAGAGAATAGAATCAATTCAACTGCAAAATCTTCAACCAAGGTGGATTTCTATGTAATATGTAAATTTTTATGCACAAGAATCATCAGAATCAAAAGGTATATAAACTAGTAGCAACAGACTAATAGATGCTGGGATGCATGATTGTCTGTGTGGTGCAGAAATTAATGATCAGTTCAGAACATACATTTAGGACAACAAAATACCATCATAAGGTTACTGAATGATACAATTGAGTTGAAAAAAAATTATAATCATCAAAATTTTAAAATTTGATACAGTCCCATGAAGGCCATCATAGCAAGGATTTACTGCTGTTATTGACAATGACTTTCATCAATATGCTATTTCTTTTTGGCAAAAAATAGATCAAAGTAGGACAACAACATAAGCACATTCAGAACATGTGTCATTTTCAGTCATCACATAGAGACAGGCAAAGGTGTAAGTAGGGCTGAAAAAAAAGCTTCTCAAAGAATCTAGACAAAATTTCACCATATTTTTTTGTTTACATCTTATTTGGTACTCCGACATAATTTAACCAAAATTACTTTAACATTCTAGGACTAACCCATCTCTCCATTAACAGTTCACAGATAAACCAGTACTATTTAGCAAGTTTCTTAATAAAAAATGAGAAAATTTCTCCTGACAACTAAAGTAGGGAGAATATGGATGAAATTAATTGCCTACGATCATAAAATTACCTCTCTCTGAAGAGCCTCATCAAGCTCCTGCTTGTCATCAGGAGTGATATCCTTGGCAGTCAACTGCGTCAGACAGTTTCTTATCCTGAATACACAACAAAGGAATAAATTCTACAGCACATTTATCATGGTCCCACATCCCAACTCTGTGTTTTAAGTGCCACTTAATTAAGTACAGTATGGAGGAGGCATAAACAAACTATGCAGTACATGGGAGAGAACCATTAACCTTAGGAACTATACATTTACATGGTCCCACATCCCAACTCTGTGTTTTAAGTGCCACTTAATTAAGTACAGTATGGAGGAGGCATAAACAAACTATGCAGTACATGGGAGAGAACCATTAACCTTAGGAACTATACATTTACATGTATTCATAACAAAGAAACATTGGCAGAACAAGACAGGAATAATAGATGTAAATTCATATCAAGACCTGCTTCCTTTTCCAGAGTTCAAATACAAGACACCATCACTATATGAATTTCTAGTCAACCAAAGAGCAATCTTATTCACATTAATCAAGAACTACCATGTGAAAATATACTATCATGTGTGGACAGGTTCACAAATAATTAATAATCAAGAGAACAAAATCAAATAAGCATAGGAAAACAGATTTAGCATGCCCATATATCGAGATATAGGAAATTGCAACCAAGTGAAGCCTGCATGTAAAACCAGGTCAAGTAATAGGCATGGACCCAAAATGTATGTAACAAAAAACTATTAACCTCTGACCCCAAGGCATCGTTTTAAGGTTCCAACATACCTTGCATGCTTCTGAAGCAGGGACCTTCTGACTGACTGAGTTGGATGTGCAGTCAAAACAAGATCAACCGTCTGGTTCTTGAGAGCATCAAAGACCTCTTCTGGGGACTTCTTTAACTGCGCTACTAGACGCTTTAGGGTCTCTTCAATGTCTGATTCAGTAGTTGCAGAGTTCTCATCAGCAAAATCACCCTTCTTTAGTTTGATTCTTCTGCGATAGGCAATCTGCACCTCCTCAGCCAAGTTGGCTAAGTTAAGCATGTGCGAGAATGATTTGGTAACAACGATTAAATCGCCAGGATCCAGACTTGTCAGTTCATTACCCAGCTCCTCAAGTTTCCTCGGGTCATGCTTCCGTTCATACTCAGCAGAATGTTCATAGCATTCTTGAACCTGATAATACACAACTTTATATTAACCTATGCCTTCTAAAGATTTCTGACCTGTCTCCTCTATCAGTTATCACCAAAACATCTCATTCCAAAAAGATGTTAAAATGAAACAAATCCAATAATTGAAGACCAACAGTAATTATCTTTAAAACACATCAACTTTGGGGAAAGATCAAATCCAGCAGCTCTGTATCTTTAATTACGAACAATTACTAAAATGTCAAAGACATCCACAAATGTTGTTTTCAAATGATCAATCTAGGGGTCCACCAGGTCCAACAGCCTGATACTTACTTTAGCAATTTGCCAATGTTCTTATAGTCTTAAACAACTCATGAATCAATCTAAAACATTGATATTAACGAAAATAAAATTCAAGAAAATAATCATAGATGAAACTAAAATATCATTCGTCAAATATTCTTCCACCTATCGTTCATCTGATCTTCAAATTAAAACAAAGCAAAAGAAAACTAAGAGGTCCACTTCCAACATGAAGGACACTCCTAAGCACAAGACATTCCGCACATTCTCGAAGGATGTGATCCAAGAAACAGTTCCTTGCCCCTATTCAGGTAATATCGAACCTATTGGCATGGACGGGGGTCGATCCCCCAGTGGAGGGCCTTTGCGTACATGCATATATACATGGACATAAACATAGAGAAAACCTCTTTTATATTAGCTCATGAAGAAGAAACAAAAGCACGGAAAACTCAAATTTCCACGAAACTGAGCGAGCGTGCCGTTCAATTACCATTTCTCTGAGATCTTCACCGTGCAAATCCTGGAGGATGTCGAGGAACCGATCTAAAAGAAGGGCGTCGTACTCGACCAACTTATCATCCTCGGACACCTTCCCCGGCGCCAGAAGCCTCAACTGGGCATCGATCGACGCCGTCTTCTCCAACCGAGTCATCTCCCCACCCGCTCAACTCACTGTTCACTAGAAAGGCCCGCCGTTCGGCAGAACACCGCCCCCCGGTCGCGATCCGCCGGTGCCAAAACCCCAAAACCCTAGTCTCAGACTCCGGAGGACAAAAGAGGGAAGCAGGGAAGATCGAAGAGGAGAGAGATCAGACCTCAGAGGGGTAAGTAAAGCTGAAGACCGCAGTGGGCTATTTATAGAGCCTACGAAACTGTTTTGAGTGCGTTTGACGGTGACGAATATACCACTTCAGATCCGTTGAGTTTTTGGTGTTTAAAACCGTTTATAAACAGAATAAAAACATGTTTATAAAAACAAACAAAATAAGAAAGAAGGAGAAGAGACTTTTGTTAGGATTGTTGCTCAACCATAAATTATTTATTATATCAATGTACATTTTGGTTTTAGAAACAAAAAAATAAGAAAAAGGGAGAAAAAGAGTTTTATTATAATTGATGATCAACCCTAAACTATTTATTATATCAAAATATATTGAAATACTGTCAGGGAAAATATCTTTTTTGTTATTTTTTTAGATGATATCCCTTTTTATAATTTCCAAACAATCACTTCATATTTTAAAAATCTTAAAAATATCCCCAAAAATTGTCATGTATTTTTTTCTTAAATCCAAAAAGTTTTTTCGCCAATTGTTCATAGTGTTATTGTTTAAAAAATACTTTGACATCAATATTTAGTTCAAAAATCCTATATAGTGTTTTTATCCTAAGACTAGTTTAAAACACTTCATAGTATTTTTATACTAAAAAGATGAAACAAAAATACTATATAAAATTTTTCAAACAAAAACGCTATACAGTATTTTTTAAAATATTATGCAATATTTTATGGACAAAAACTAACCCATTAAAACACTATAAATAATTAGCAAAAAAAAAAAATAGATTTAGAAAGAAAAAAAGGCAACTTTTAAGGGGTATACTTGAAATATTAGAAATAGGATTGGCTATTTGAAAATTATGAAAAAAAAAGGTATCATCTAATAAAAACTCAAAAAGAAAATATTTTCTCAGACAATCGCCCATATATATTTGGATAATTTAAAAAAAATATATTATATTTTTTGGGAGAATAGTATCTCTCGTTTTGATTTTACCGTGAATCTAATTCAAAAGCTTTTTAAACTAGTCTCCTCCTCTTCTTCTCCCTTTCTTCTTGATCGCGAAGTGGATAATGAGCAATGTAGGACGACAAAAGTGACAACAGAGGGGTAGGGGAGGATAGTTTGAAGTTTTTAAATTATGAGTATTATTTGTAAAAACTAAAATAAGAATAATGTTTGAGAAATATATAAAATATGAGTATTTTATAGAAAAGTCATCTAATATATTTTATTTTTAAAAATTAAAATAAAAAAGAAGAGTATTTGATTGATATCGATGACCAATCCTAAATTATTTATTATATACAATATATTTTTTATATAAAAAATGCATTAACATACACCTTTAAAATTAGTTATATATATATATAAAATTACCAAACTCAAAATTTTATAAAAGCACAATAGTAGTATTATTGATTTTCATGCCATTCAAAAAATCAACTATTATCAATGTAATTTAAAAATGCTAAATAATTTCAAATTAGTAACTTCTATATTCATCCCACTAAATTTAAACTTAGAATCAAGTAATAGGTAAAGAATAAGGAGAATTTTAGGTATTTAATATTTTTAGTAAAACAGTCAGCTTAGATTTATTTGATGGATGCTAACGAGAGTGACGTATAAGATATGAACATTAATGGAAGGATGGATACGTAAAACCCCTATTTAGTGAAAGTTGCATCAATAGTAGGATGCCGGACCAAAATAGTTGATTGATTTGAATGGCCACAAAGAACAGATTAAAGAAAAAAAAAGAAAACAAAGGCACAAAAAAATAGCATATTCCGTTTTCTTCGCACTGTTGTTGATGGGCTTTCCAGCTTGTAATTATTCCCCACCCTCACTAAAGGTTGGATGGTGGATCCCTACTCGATGAGACCTCTTTTAGGTCTCTCTTTTGTGAATGGTTCATTTGCGTTTCATCTGAAGAGTGTGCAACTCAACCTTTATTTAATGCCATTCTTTATTTAATGCCCTTCCTCGCATTTAAATATTTTCAATCTTATCTTCTTTCTACAGAATATGTACGAACAGATAGAGAGAGAGAGAGAGAGAAAAAAAAGCCACAAGAAGCATGGCTTGTGATGTTGTGTACATCATAGAGGGACCATCTTAGATAATACATTTAGTCTAAGAGTACGAGACATAGCAAAGTCTAAGTAGTTAACTCGATGCAAGGAGTATAGCTAAATAGATAAAAAAAATTAAAAATATTATTTTTTATATTGTGTTAATATATAAAAAAGAAATATGAAGAGAAAATGGGTAAGAAACTAAATTACTCATAGAACAATGCTACTTAGTGGACAAAAACAAAAAAAAATAAAGTATTGAAAGAAGTTTTGTTATCTAAGTATATAATATAAGGTGATATTATTTGGAGAATAAGAAATTCACATATCAAAAGAAATATTGATAATTATGATTTTATTATTTATATTAAAGATTTAACGATAGGAAAAAAAAAGAAAAATAGCATCTCGAGTTCTCGTAGGATTTTCTCAAAAAAAATAAAAAAAATTATGTAAAAGGATAGAAGTGTTGATCATTAGATATTTTCTTTTGGTTTCAATGTCTTCTTCTCTCCTAACAAATACAATTTGATTTGTATATAGTCGAGCAAGATTAGATGCCTTGATCACAAAGTATCGAATCACTTATCGAGGAATAAAATAATGGTGTGGGATTTTATATGTGGACTTTGATAACTTATCATGCATTTGTGCTTCCCAATACAATAATACAAATTTGGGCTTTTGAACGTTAACAAGCTTATATATACATATAATATTAGCGATCATTCCTTTTCTTTATCGTTGTTGGGGTGGTGGGAATAAAGGTTTCGAAGGTCTTCACCCTCGTTAGACATTGTTGCATGAGCTGTCGTCCCCATCGCTCCAAGAAAAAACCAAGGAAGCATGAAGACTTCAGCTTCGTCGGCCGAGACTTCCACACCGCATGCTGTGTGACGTCCCAAGAAATCTTGTTGTGATACTCACAAATGTCCAATTTAGACCAAAGAAGATCTTTTGTTGCCAAGAGATCGAAATTATAATACCTTAATATTTTTTTTTCTTTTTTGGTTTGATTATTTTTAATTACTATTTTGATGATCCATTTTGGAGTTCATATTGGACCTAATTTTTTTTACCATGGCCACGTCAATTTTGTGAATTTAGATAGAGAAATAGGTGTTCGAGTTTGAATACAAAGATACGATTTCAGGTAGTCTGATTCAAATATTAGGAAGAATCATACTTTGAAATGAAAAAAGTCAACTGCATGACAATTCAACCACTTAAAATAGATGTTCAACCTAATTTATGTTGACCTAAACTCAAATTCATCATCGATTTCAACGATTATCTCTAAATTGAAATCGATGTTTTCGTGATGAATCTGAATATAAAAAATATGTATTTATGAGGGAAAATACCTCTAAACTAGAATCTACTAAAGTCAACCACTGAAACTTGGTCATGGCGGAGAATATGATCCTTCAAACGTGTTCTTTACTCCACTCAGTGGGATCCAAAACATAGATCAAACCTGCCTCCTATTTTATTTGCCAGTATCAAGAATTCAACTCCATGACTCTTTTTCTCAAAAGGAAGCTAAGAAAGAAAACAAGGAAGACTGATGCGTGTTTTCTTGACGAGTTCATCATCTGAGATGAGGTGACTGTTCCCTCCTCTTCGCTAGACAGGGACATGCTATTACTGGATGCATGCAATTATGGAGAAGCACTGGCTACATGATTGGCATAACATTCATAAACTTTGGTGCACTTTCTGAATTGATATATTATTGTGAACTGCAATAGTCTTCCGTAAACATTCATAAACTGATGAGAGATTCTTAACGGCAGTCAAACACAGAAAGGAGGTATGACTGTTTCCACTGTGCCACGAAGACCGGAGAACGGAAGCATCCATCCATCCATCGACACCGACGTTAATGGAGGGTGGGCTTCCGGTAGCCTCGAAAGAGATTGGCATGAAGACAGGAATTACTTCTTGGGCGGAGGACAGATTAAAGATCTTTGAACACATGTCGAGTACGGTGAGAGTGCATTGGTAGGATCGACACCGAAACAGCTGTTGAGAGTGGCAGACAGCATAGCATCCATCTGCTTCGACTCCAAGCATGAGATCTGAGACTGGGAATAGAGTATATACTGTGGATATATATAGGATGGATGAAGTATTTTCTTTAGCTTTCTCTGTGATGTGCCATTATGTTATGTTTGATCGATCAGATTCGATATATGGAATCTTGAGGAAATCTAATTACTAGACATATCACGACAACTACCCGACATTATAAAGAATCTATTGAATATATCATGTTAATTTAATAGAGCATGTTCCCTCGTTAGATGGACGATCACAAAAATGATGTTACGTAAGCCTGACTTCTTAAATACCTCAAAAAAATATTTTTTTTTCTTTGTATAAGTTCTAAATATGCAATGTCTACTCCAGAAATGAATAATGTCAAATCATCAAATCGAACTGATATTTAATTTAACTATGTCACTCTATAAATCAAAATATTGAATTATATCATGGAAGCTCATATTTTTCGTCATCCTAAAAGAATTTTGGCTTCTTACATAACTTCAAGAAAAAAGAAGAGAAGATAATAGAAAGAACAAGGAATACTTTCAATTTATAGTAATTTTTATTTATTCAAAAATATGTATTTGTATTAATCAAAAGGATAAAGTATAAGTTTTTTAAACAAAAAAAAATTCAGTCATAACCCAACGAATCTCCTCATCCTCATCCATGTACCCAAAAACCAATCGTTCATTTATTTATTTTAATCTTAATATTTATTTTTTATTATATCTAATCTTAAACATTTGAATTAATTTTAACATGCTCTTTTAATTCAAAATAGTTGCAACTTGAAGTTTCTTTCAAAAAAAATAAAATTTCTCTTTTGCTAAAGCTTTTGTTAAGATGTTGGTAAGTTTATCTTCAATGTTTATAGTCATTTAAATAATGAAGTGAAATCGAATTTTCATATATTTAGTGCACCAGT